ACTTTTATATATTTTGATCAATGATATTTTTATCTCTTTCGAATTTTTTCAAATATTTAATTTGGTTAAGGAATTTTCCGTCGACACGGATGACGTATTTTCATATTTAAACGCCATCGAACATCTTAGGTTAGTTCGGCTTGATGTAAGTCATCCAATTGCATTCAGCTTCATATTCTTTGGAAAAGTGTAAGACTATTATTCTGAGTAATTTTCTTAATATAAATTCATTCTGATCCAATGATGGATGCTTTCTCACTTACATGTCTTGACATTTTCAATTCGATAAACTTAATAACTGACTGACTCTATGACTGATTTTCTAATATTTGAAATCATTATATGTTACGATAATTGTGGCGCAAGGCTATCTAAGTGCAACACACAGAAAGACTTGAAATATTCTTTTAGTATACCGCTCGATACAGATTCATTTTCTCAATTGATCTAAACTTGTCTCTGCCCATCTGTCCGTCTGTCTGTCTGTCTGTCTGTCTGTTATGCTTGTGTACCATCGAAAGTTCAAAACTTGTGAAATATTTTGATAAAAGGACTTTTTCGATCACTTTCCGCCTATGGCTTTACTTTGAAAAATCGTTATGCGAATAACGTAATAAGTAGCGTAGGGTATTTAAGCGTGGACCGCATCCCAATATGGTGTTTTTATGATATTCATAATTTAATTTTGACATCAAAAAATTTGAATAGAAAACTCGAAAAAACTTTTCGACTTTTTTGCGATGTTCTTCTAATGTTGTTAAAAACAATTTCTTGTCAAACTTTTGCGAACTTTTATAAAGAACCAATGATACATTTTCAGCTTGTTGGCATATGGTTTTATGTTCAATGACTACGGACGTGCATTTATTTCAAAACTTGTATATAAACGTTTTATTTCTTTTTCATTCTCTTTCCACATTTTTCTTATTCAAATTTATATTCAAGTTTATATTATTTAATTTATATTTTTAAGTTTGTTTAAAAAACACTTTCATTCAATTGATAATGTATTCTTCAGTCAGTCCACTTCTTATCAATAGATAACTAAAAAAAACTAAAAAAAAAAATTACAAACTCTTACTCAACAATTGAATTTTAAAGTTACTTAAAAAAAAAAAAAAAAAAAATTATCTTTTGAAGGATTTCTCAAAAGAGGACTACAACTACTTTCTACTTAACCTATGAAACTCAAAAAAAAAAAAAAAAAAAAAAATTATATATATATATATATATATCGAGTTTTTGTAACAATTTCGGGAAAACCAACAATGGACATAAAGAAGTCGTCTTAACATTTCATACCGATCGAGAATATTAAGCTAATCAAAAATTTCACATTCTGACATGTAGATGACATTGCAAACAATAAAAATATATCATTGCCGATAGCTATCTAACATTAATTATATGTAATTAATTTAACTGCACACCAAGATCATCGCAATTGAAATAAACTAAAGGTATAAAATATAACACATTCACCCGAAGTGATATTAACATCGCCAAAGAGCCAACGAGTTGAAACAAATCAAAGATCGCTCCGTTCTGTCGAAGCTTTTAAATGCAATACCAATCTTGTTTACGGACTATATTTAAAAGGATAGTACAATGACAGGGCGAGGACAGGCGCTAAATTCTTTCAAACGTATCTAAGTTTGCTTTACGTCTGCATACTATAAGTTTAAATATTAAAGCTATTTTCTATATTCTCTAATATTATGTGTCCAGCTCTCACTGCCAATTTACACCCATCAAGAGTGGAGGATATATTGGAGGAAGGCTGAAGAGCAAAGTCATGTCCAACTTATTATTGATATTCAATAACTTCAAGCAAACTCGAACAAACTCGAACAAACTGGAATAAATATTAATATGGCGTTGTGACGTGAGTACCGATAACGTCTTTATACTAAAAAGTTACATTTGGAGATATCTTGACTTAGTCCCTCGTTCGCCGCATTTCAAAACTGAGAGATTTCGTGGATATCCAGCATACGTTCCAAGCTCTCTCTCTCTCTCTATCTCTCTCTCTCTCTATCTCTCTCTATCTCTCTGTCTCCCTTGGTTTTTTTCACACCACTTGAGGTGTAGGGTATATTAAGGTAGCTCGGACGTATATAAAATGCAGAAGGGGTTAAGATAAACCCACCCATTGATTGTACCTATCGATTCACAATTATAATCTGAATATAATCAATGATCTAAGCCTGTCTGTCCATCTGTCCATCTATTGTCTGTCCATTCCAATTTGTCTTTAAGCTATTGCTCGCAAATTTTTGACATATTTTCATGAATTTCGATCATCTCGGCATACTTTTTGGATCGTACCCTAATAAGAAGTTTTAAGGGAATTGATTCATTGTAGAGCACAAAAGTCTAAGTTTTAATATGTGATGATGAAAATTGACCCATAATAGTAATTTCATACAAAAATATACTCTATAAAATTTGGACCAACTACGCCTCCTGCCTATGTAAGCATTAAACTTGTACTACATTAGGTTGTGTTTTGGGCCCGCACATGAAAAATTTGCCTTTATATAGAACCAAGATACAACTTTTGTGCTCTATAATGAAAATAGGATTTTTATTAGGCAATATCGTATAGAATATTTAATGGTCGGCCTTACCCGACTTTTATGTTCTTGTTTGAACAATTAAAATTAAAAATTAATATTAAAATATTTGTATATTTGCTGCACATATACAAATAGCAAGGAAAACAAATAAATAAATATCTCGAAGTTTTTGCATTAACGCCAATAATGATTTTATTAATAATTTTTTCATTTAAATAAAAATCAAAAAAATGAATAAAGAATATCTCGAAATATGTTTCACTTTTACAAATTCGATCGATATAGATAATGATAGATTAATGCTGGTTAAAGCTACTTTAGGCAAATAAATGATTCCGAAGCACAACATTTAACTTTTGCGACACAATTCGAATGCAGTTTTTTCAATCATTCGATCCGATCCGCTTTGGACATCTCATCTCTGTTCCGAAAGCATTTTATGTTTAATTTCTAGTTCTTTCAAAGATTGTGAAAAAAAAAAAAAAATACAAAAATACCAAGCATACTGACGAGATGGCCATGCCATTCGGAACATGTCACAGCACCGCTCCATCTAATTGCGTGTGATCACACAACGATAACATGTTGCGAAAGAATAGAATCTGCAAAATCAATTAATGGATAAGCAGCGTTTTGCGCGAAATGAGTTAATTATCTAAGAAATCAGAATAATTGACAATAATCCACGTTTCTCGTCCATAATACTATTGGCCGTATTAGGTACGGGATGGAACTAAAAAAACTGTCAGAATTCTGTGAAGGCTAACAATTGCGATTATCGCAAACATTTGCAGCGTTTCAATCAACGAGATGTACAGAATATATGTAGCCATATATCGGGCACTGCATCAGTTAGCCTTGATATTACCTATGGCGAAAGCATGCGAAATTGATAGAGAATGAAATAGTGAGGCAGTATGGTGAAGACATAGTTGACTTCTTCTCTTCGCACTTTTGCTTATAACATAATCCAGCACACGGTTTTTTTTTTTATATAATCAATTATTAAGTGGACAGGGACGTGATAACAGTTGGGAACAGTGAGGAAAGATAACGACATAGGGAGATGGCGGCCAAAGTCCAGTAGGTGTGTGCCCGATCAGTAAATTTTATCCCTTTATCGATTGAGCGGACATGGACTTCGTAATCGCTATCTCCTTACTTACTCGACTATTTATGGCGAATGTAATAATGTAATAATGAATTTTATATTATTTATTTAAACATACGTACACATACACATACATTTATATAACAAAGGAAAAAACTATTATTTTCGATAATAAATTACGCTCTCCCGGATTGGATGTATATTGAAAACTTTTAATTGCACACAAAAATGATCTGCCTTTGTGGTTCCACTAACGCACTACCACAAAGTTTTCATTTATCTATAGTTTTGAATGCATTCAGTCGTTTTCAATTTTGCATACCTACAATATGAATTAAGTAAGCGTATAATCTGATCTTTGTTATTTTGTGTCCATCCACGCGCGTCCGTATGTCTTATATTTTCATATGCTTATGTGCGTATTTGTATGTATGTTTTGTGTCTCTCTCTCTGTATGTGTGTAACAATTATATATATATATATATATATATATATATGTGTGTGTGTGTGTGCATATAAAACCATAGCAATATGCATATGAAATACAGTTTATGTTATACCACTATTGTTATTGTTGTTGTCGTTATTGTTATTGATGCTATGATTTTTGTTGTTGATGCGGTTGTTATTGTTTTCATGTTTTCATCAATGATGCCTGAGCGAAGTTTATTTAATGCGATTATTAAATCTATATGCGCTATGTATGTATGTATGTATGTATGTATGTATGTACGTTTATAATAAATTCATTTATATTTGAATATGCGGTTTGCGATTGCGAAAATAGCAGCAGTGAAAAGTAATTGTATTGTAAGAGAGGCGCGTGTGCACGTGTATATACGTATGTATATGCGCGCCCGTGTGAATAAACATTGATACTGTACAAATGTTTGTTTGCCTGTGTATATTTTCAGATATATCAACGAAACAAATACGGACGATTATACGTTGTAAGTGAAATGTTATAAATGAAAAGGAAAAAAAGTGAAATATTCGAAAACAAAAAAAAAAAAAAAAAGAAAGAAATTAACAGAAGAAATATAAAAATGTACACACAAAGGATAAAAAGTAAATACAAATATAAAACAAGTATTTTCAATTAAAATTTTTAATAAAATGACTATAATTTAAAAGGTTCATTCACTTAATAGTTAGTTAGCTTTTATGGTGCACCATCAAGCATTTACAATTACATTCATATGTACATATAAGCGTATTGTGTGACCCTCCCCCACTAACCTCCCCACCCCTCGTCCCACTTATTAATGCCATTAATTTCTGATGCGAAATCGTTTTTCATTACATTACAGCTGAAGATGATGTGAGCGATGATAAAGCTTCCACTTGTGGTACCGTACTAATATTTCTCTCTGTGGTTTTGGTAATACTAACGCTACCGTTTAGTTTGTTTGTATGTTTCAAGGTGGGTTTATTATTATACTCTCTTTCCCATATATATATATATATATATATATATGTATATAAGATATATATATATATATATATGTGAAGAGAGAGAGAAAAGGATTATATATGTAATCATCACACATAGAGAGTAAGAAAGAGTACTGTGTTATAATATTTTACTTGTGCCCCGGAGTACTAAAATGGCAGAAAATTTCATTTCATTTTTTTCACAAAAAAAAAAAAAAAAAAAAAAAAAAAAAAAACTGTATGTATGTGTGTGCATATATACAGGTGGTGCAGGAATATGAGCGAGCTGTTATATTTCGTTTGGGTCGTTTAATGCAAGGCGGTGCCAAAGGCCCGGGTAAGTATTGTAAGTCTTTGGTAAAAACTGTTTTCACTGCATCTTTATTTTCCCTCTTTTTTTTTTTTTCTTCTGTTCTAATGCTTATGAAAAACAAAAACAAAAACAAAAACCGAAAAAAAAAGGTATATTTTTTATATTGCCGTGTATAGATTCTTATGCACGTGTGGATTTACGTACACGTACTTATGATGTACCACCGCAAGAGGTAAGTTAACCTGGTCTTAAATTCTCTATAAAAATTGATATCAATTTTGTAAATAGTTTTGATCGTAATCTTCGCATGCCCGTAATCCGTTTCCATTTATAAATGTCTTTACATATGTTATTATCATTATTATTATTATTATTATTATGATTATTAATAAGCAGAACCCCTTTTTATATATGTATATGTACGTATGTTTGTGAAATTAGAAATATTTTTCCTATTGTTTGATTTTAATTGTCTGTCCGTTTCATTCATCTATACCATTCAATAAATTGCTCATTCGTTCAATCATTCATTTTTTCCATATTATAATACATTTTCGCTTATATCTTAATATCTCAAAAATAATAGTCATACATAGATAGATAAATGTGTAAACATTGTTCTTGTTAACATTGTATTGTGCTGTTAATAAATAAATATTTTTTTGCATCAAATTTAAACTGTTAAATAGAAATAAAAAATATGTATTATTAAACGTTTTCCTATAGATTTTATACTAAACATATATATCTGATCAAGATATTAGCTTTCACACACAATCGAATTGCGGTAAGAACGAAACAAACTTAATTAATGCGTTCTTAAATGTTGCGAAATGAAGCGAAACAAAAACACAGATATAACGAAAATACGAAATGCGAAAAACTTCATATCTCATTCATATCGGTATAGGTATCGAGTCTTAAGCATTCCTTTTATCGTCACTTTCATTTCGCCTTATTCAGCGTTAATGATAATCTTTCCTCTTTACGATCGCTCAGAAAATGAATGATAGGTGGAAGAAATAGTCGGAGCCCTTAAAATGAAAAGGAAAACAATTCTCCATATCAGTCGTGAAAATGCGAAAAACAAATGTAATAATAATGTAGCAAATATAATCTTATACGAATTATTCAGATATGATTTAAAAATCGACTCAATCTACTCACAATTATGCAACTTAAGGGAAAAATGAATAAATAATTACTAAAGAATATGTGTGCATAATGTGTAAAAAAAAAAAAAAACTCTTTTTTTTAATATTTTTTTTTTTTTTTTTTTTCATTCAGATTTATGTGAACTCCTTCACTTACCTACTTCAACTGAAATAACACTCTTACATAAATGCTTAAACTAATTTTACTAAGCCACACGCACTTATGACTTACATACGCCTCAGAGGTTTGTCAAAGGGTTCTTTTTCTTTAGCAAAAAAAAAAAAAAAATAAAATAGAAATTGAGGTAATTATCAAAAATAAAATATTTTTAATTAATCATTAACACAAAACATGATGTTATTTGGAACAAAGTTGATTTCACTCAACACTCTTATCTTAATGCTTGAAATCGCAAAGCAAAAATGTATGCATCAGCAACTAGATAAGTAGATACCTATTAGATCAGTAATAAGAGTTGTAAACAGTAACACGTTTACGAGGCTTTTATGATTTCTTGCACAATTTTACTTTCCCAACTTGATTTGTCCGTCAAAAGATTTTCTATAAATGCTCTCTCAAGTCGCTTGGACGTTTTTCTCTTGTGTTTTACTTATATGACATCTAACCGACTAAAACGCGAAGCAATTGCTTGTTATGTGGCCGAAGGCACTAAAAACATATATCTGTCCAATACAAGGGACCGGCTTAATATTCTCCGCGATTGCTTTGGAGCTATGGAGCTAAGCGTCTCGTTCTTTACACTTATAACGGAATATTTCGACAAAAACGAATTTGTTAAAAATATTAAAATCTACGAAAGCAAAATATTGAACAAAGCTTAACATATCGTATTCATTATAATGTTCCGGAAATTTGCCTTTCTCGGCACGGTTCATATCACAAGATCGTGATTTTATTTACAATCAATTTGCTTAAGCGTAGACATATTTACAGTTTACTTAAATTTGAGAGCGTATTTAACTTGAACTTTCCTTTCGACTCAAATCATCTGTTCCGACTAAACCGCCTTTTTGCCTTCTGCAAGTTTTCTGTTTATATACATTTTTAGGCCAGTTCATGGCTTCATTTTTAATCTGACGCGCCACAAATTTGCGCTTGGTTTTTCCCTCTCTCAGAAATTTATTTTCTGGGAAAATCAATTCGTTGGAATGAACTGGATTTGGGATTTCCGTAATAATGTCGTTGCTTGCTTAAATCATCTATCAAGTCGATTTTTTTGATGGCTAGCTTGATACTAGATATGCCTCTCCGTACATTCTCCAAACAGGATGTAAAGGTGAAATATTCAAAATATATATTAATCTATGGTAATCTAGTAAAACTGTATTATTTCAACTTTTTGTCGTTCCGCGAAATTTTTTCATTACTTCCATATTCTCTATATATCTCTTTTCATATTTTTTTTTTTTTAATATCGAGAGATGAAAGCATTAAAAATTTATGAATTATTTGCTTTAATTTTCTTCTTCATCATTTCGAAATTTCTGACATTAATTAGTTTTATGTATGGTTTCGTAATCGTATTTTACTTTATTTGCCCTTTTAAATGTGAAACTCGATAGTTATTTTATCTTCGAGCTAAAATACAAAATTATATAGTCGTAATCGAGCAAACATTCATACGCAGTGGAGTACCATTGACTCGCTATTCATTAACAGTTGTTCGGTAATGAGAATCACCCAATAAAAAAAATTGAAAATTGTTATGCAGCTAGCTCGCGATAAAGCGAAACCATAAACCGAGCCCCAAAATGCATTTGCAAGTGGATGCATTTAAATCCAAGAGTTGCTCTCACTTCTTAAAAGCCTACGTAAACGTACAATCAATTACGCCCTGCTGCTGTACGAAAGATAACTGAACTTCGTTCAAATATATTATAACGAATTTCACGTTAATTAAAATATATTTTCATCTCTCAAACTTCAAATGATTTTTTAATGTCACTTTTTTAAATGTTGTTAATATTCTTCTAACTAGATTGATGGTCAACCATGCAACACGAAATGTTCAAGCATTAAATGATACAAGTTCCATTCAGTTCTATTGCCGTCTTTTCGATATATAGTATCGTTGCTGTTAATGAGTCGGACCCGAATTCTTGTCTTTGTTTTTTCTCCTTCTCTCGTTCCTGGGTTTTTGAAATTAACGATCCACCTATCTACTCGTTTTCAAACGACACCACCTTGTCTCACTCGTATTTCATGAGTAAGCGACCAGCCGATAACAAGATACAGAACGACTGCAGCGTGATTATTGGCGCAGTAAAACGAAAATCTCGTAAAAATATGAGAATAAAACTGAAAGTTGTCGCCTAACGCGTAGAAAAAGTGTTTATGACATCCTTCCTCTTCGGTGACGCGAAAGTGGAGGAATCGTAAACGAGAGACGAACGAAAACAAGATTTGGGGAATAAAAATATAAAACGGTGTTCGTCCGAAGTGTCGAAAGACGCAGCCATGGGCTTAAGTTCGATACCTCATACCACGTACGTACAATAAAAGGCTCAGAAAATCATGAGTGACGAATGGGTGCCCAAAACCTTCAATACCTCAATTTAACGTTGGTCTATTGTGGGCTGTGCAGGTATTTGCAGGTAGGCACAAGGATAAAACAGATTTGTCCATCAATTAAATTTTTTAACAGAACTACACAGCTTTCGCGGCATTCTCATCCACTCGTCATGCATTTACCTGCATACTGCGCACTACACGCTGCAGCGACTCGCCGTTCTCTAACCATACTGTCCGCCTTTGAAACCATATACCATGAATGGTCCTTGCCATCGTGCTTGATAACTTCATTTTCAAGACAAACATTCACAAACACTACTGCCCCTCTCCACTCTCTCTTGTTATAATCAACGTGCCCGCACGTAGGGGAGACATCTCCTGAGTGGTTAGTCATAAACAGAAAAAAAAAAAAAAAAAAAAAACAAATAAAAGATTATGCGATAAAACAAAACTTTGGCGAATTCTCTCGATTCGATATTTTCAAGCGCAGCAAACAAATTATCCGAATATAATTTTCCAGGCAGATATTTGTCCAAGTATCGTGGCCAGAATATATACCATCATTCTTAATTGACCTAAAGGCCACAAGAATCAACATCAATGAATGAGGTTAACTGATTTGGGTGATTGGGTGATGAACTACTATGGCCTTGTTATTCAAGCGATGCCGGTGCTTGAGTTAAGAAAGTTATGTGAAAGAAAGCTAATATCTAATAGAAAAATATTTTCGTATGTTGTTGCAATATAAACAAAATATTTATATATATGTATATATAATATAAAAAGTAAATAAATAGTTTAACAATAAATAATTCAAAAAAATAAAAACAAAAACCTAACTTCCTTCACCTCTAATATCTGTAGGAAAATCTAACGAGTAGCATGAAAGTTTTAAGAATTTTTTTACAAAATATATGATAATAAATTTTCTGTGAATGTATGTATGGACGTACGTATGCGAACGTATATGTTTCTACGAATATATAAATCACGCACACTTTACTATAATTGAATTTCTTGTACACTATTGATCGTACAAACAAATAAATATATTCTCTTTACAAGCGCACAAACATGCACATCTAAACACACGCAATCCTTTGTTTATTCTCTTGTTGTACCTCAGTCTCTCACACACTCTCTCTCTTTCTTTCTTTCTTTCCTTTTTAATAACTGTCTCACTCTCTCACACTTTCTATCTCTTCTCTCTCTCTCTCTCTCACTCTATCTCTCACTTTCTTTCTCTGTCTCTCACTGACTGTTTCACTATTTTCCATAAATCTGGAGGCACGCACTTTATCAATAAATTTCCAATAAACACTTTCTTCGTTAAATAAAAAAAATATTTGAAAAATTCTCACTTATTGTGTGTTTGCTTGTTATACATGTATTGTATATATAAAATAATTGTTGAACATGTGTGTATGTTAATCACTTAATTGATATTCATTAACATAATTAATTAATTATACATAATGAAATTTTCAAAGGTCCTTATTCTTGGCATTAATAATTACATACATAATGATTAACATGCAAATTTCG